CCCCCCATCCCCTGCCCAGATTTGTCACCAAACCCTAGGTTTGAAGTGGAAAAAAAAACTCCGTGAAGGTATTCAGATTTTCGGGCAGAACCTTTGGGTCATACATCTTCACATCAGAGCCACACAAATGTCAGTCTTCGGCAAAGTGTAAGATCTCACACTTGGTTACACAAACCCCCTCACCCATTTTTTCAGTCTCTTTCCTTTCAGAATGAAACTTCGGTCTGACTCTCAAAACGGGTTGTCTTTTATTTTGCAGTCAACAAGGGACAAAATGAGAGGGAGAGCGGTCTCCAGACTCAGACTTGGATGGTAGGACCCTGTAGTAGCAGGGAGGCCCCGCCGGGTCCCCCAACTCGGCCTGAGAAGCCCAACTCGCAAAATGGGTATGAACATTCAAGTCTGAGCAGAAATTATACATTATCAGTTCGGAGGGCCAAATTAAAAGCAGCCTCATTCCAAAATTAACCTGTGGCTTTCTCAAAGCCCTCTGTGGTCCAAATAATAGCTAAACAAGTCCATTCAAACAAACCTGCCACTAGAAAAACACATATCCTTGTGTACATGTAATACTAGACACAACCTTGCTTCCCCAGCACCCACTAGAGCCAGTGAGGCAACCACTCTTCAGAAAGCGCTTGGCGAGAGAAACCAGGGTGTGCCAGGGATGCTTCACACAGTACTCTAGGTTACAAAGATCCTGGGCTTTCCAGGTCACAGCTGCCACTCTGTGTGTGACCTTAGGAGAGTTCTAGCCCATATGTTTTAACAAGGGGGCGGGGGGAGCAGGTTTGAGGTACCGTCCCTGTCCCCACAATCATAACCAGCACTCAAGCTAGCAAAGTGACTAAATTAAAAGAGAACTTTCTGAAGTCTAACCGCTTTCCAACTGCTTTATCCTATGCAAATGAGTTACAGAGTCTCCAGCAGGCCCCAGGAAGTAGATCACAAAAAAAAAATCATATTTAATTAAAGACTCAGTCTAATTCCCAGTCGTAAATCACAGGAAATATTTAATTCCAAAGTGGTCTCTCCTCAATCCTAGGACATTTGAGTTGATTCATGTTTTAGTTTAGGGTTTTCTTGTTTTTTAAGTTAAAAGGAGTAAAAATGTCTCTCCTATGGGTCTTTGTAACAGGTAGTTTCAGATCTGAGAGTGAAACTTGGTTTTCACAAGAAACTCATTTTTATGAAAACTATAACCAAGACCAGTCATGAGTTAGAACAGTTCAAGTTCTTCTTAAAATACTCTTTGACTCAAACTGAAAATGCACTTGCTGTAATCCGACTTGAACCAACTGACTCCAATTACACCTGAAGAAATCTAGTCATGGCGATGGCAGCCATTCTGAACAGAAAACACTTACCAGGTCTTCTAGCTCTGGTAATAAAATGAAAAAGGTAACTTTTTTTTTCAAGAAACTTACTGTCACTTAAGAGCCCAAACTAAAAATAACCCCAAAACATTGCCTTTATCTATAAAGACAACTGCAAAGCCAGGTTAAGTTGGCTGTGCCCACTTCCAAGGATGCAAAAGCAGGGAGTAAAGTACATGCTATAGCATGAATGCCCAAACTTACACCGTTTTCTATTGATACTTGGGGTTTCCTTTTGTGGGTATAAAATAAGTGAGCAAAGTAGTGTTGAGTAAGTCAAGCACTTAACACTTAAATTCAAATGTTAAGTAAAGCTGGATCTGGCAGACAATCCCCATTTTGTGATTTAAAAGACACGCAGCACTTATAAGTAAGGAGGCACTTTCCCGTTGTTGTTGTTTTTTGTGAACACTTGGTAAAATTGCTCCTAATGCCTCCTAGTGAGGTTTATGGTGATAGTTTTACCCTAAACCGTGTTTTGGAGAAGAAATAAATAAAACATCCTGGCTGCTTCTCCAGCAACTACAATGTAATGTGACTGAAGTGGCCTTTTTGACACACTTCACCACTGGGATGACAGTTATGAAAAGTATCTTTGGTGTGGCATTGCGCCAAGACCAATTCTTAACTATGCTGCAAAGCCCAGCGGGGTGAAAAGGGCCAAGGAGTTGGGACTTAGCCTTACAGCAAATCCTCCACCTGGGAGTTACAGTTCGAAAACTGGGAGACCAAACAGTGAAGGGGCCAGGATGACAGCCGCCACCACCCCCACCTCTCCCCGCGGTGGAGGTGGCCCTCCTCTTGGACCCTTCATCAGGCCAATTCCACTGCGGGGAGAGGATGCACCTGCCTCTAGCTTGGTGTCAGACACAGCGTCACCTACACCCTCCCCGACCAGGCCAGAAAGTCCTGAGCGTCCCACGAGAGCACACGTCCACTCTGACTCCCTCAAAACGTTTTCAGAAAGAAAGGCGCGCCGTGCTCCTCACCTGCACCTTCGCGCTCCCAGGGGCAAGGAGGAGGTGGCAAGAGAGAAGATAAAACACATCCCCCAAACTGGCCACCCCGGCCACCCTCTTGGCGCCTAATGAAAGGCCTAGGGCTTGGGACCTGGGCAAATCTGGGAGAACTTCCTTGCAAAGAAAGTGCAGGCCCCGCGGTCATCGTGCCACCGCGGGCGGCACGGACGCGCTGGCCCTTTAAAGGCGCCGCTTCCTGAGCCCGCGGTCCCTCCCTCGCCACTAGCTCCCGCCCCCGCCGAGGGTCACACTTGAACTTTAGCTCGCCCGCGTCCGGCAGGCGGCGGCCGCCCCTTCGCACGTGTTGGACGCGCTACCTCGGGACCTCGGGTTCGGGCTCCGGCTTGGAGCACCAGGGCTCGGGTACTCCAGGCCCCTTCGGATCAAACTAAAATAAAGTGCGCACCCGCCGCCCCAAAACTGCGCGGCCTGCCCGGCTGGCTCGCGCCCTCCTCTTCCCCTCCACCTGCGCCCCGAGGCCCGGCGGCGGCCCCCCAACCCACGCCCAGCGTGGCGGAAACCGCTGTGCGGGGCGCGCCCCGCGGGGGCGGCGGGACCACCTTGCCACTGAGTCCGCCAGAGAGCTGGGCGCTACGGGCAGCAGTCGGCGCTGCGGGGGAAAGAGGGGTGGCCGAGGGCCCCCGGGAACCGGCTCCTCTTTTACTCAACCAACTTTCCCATCTGTGCCAACGTCCACTTCCCGGCGCACTTTTCTCTCTGCGTTAGTTCCAAACAGGCCCCAGCCTTCCCGCTTTGGGGTGCTGACTCTCTTAACGCGTGCACCCCCAGCCGCCCCTGGTTCGCGACAGCGCCTCTGCCCGCGCCGCCCTCCGGCCCCGCACTTTCCCAGGGCGCAAGCCTGCGCTGCCCACCCCGCGCCCCTGCCCTCCAGGACCCGGACGGGCACCGGAGCCCGTGCGCGCGCAGCCCCGCTCACCTTCCAACCCGCGGAGCTGTTGCTGTCGCCCTTATCCTTGAAGTAGGGCACACTCTTGACCATCCACTCGTAGATCTGCGACAGCGTGAGGCGCTTCTCGGCCGAGCTCTCGATGGCCTTGGTGATGAGATCGGCGTAGGACAGGTTGCCCCACGCGTTGCGGCGGGACGAGCTGCTCTTGCGAGGCTGCCCCGCCAGCGGCCCGGCGGCGGGGG